TCTATGGTGCTGGAGCAACCAGCTGCATATAAGATTCTGTATTGAGAGCCCAACGGTAGTTTGGTCACTCCATGAAAGAAAATGAGGAGAAAAGAAAATGAAATAGCTAAAACTCTGAAAAGTGGCAAACCATCCTGAGATCAATATATAGAGTGGCATTTTATCCTATACATCCTAGCGAGTGGCATTTTGTTGAAACCAACAATATATAGTGGCATATTGTCCTTTTTCTCCATAGAAAATGGGGGAAATAATTGGATAGCTGCACATTGGGCCAAGAACACAATAAAAATAAATCCTACATGTTAAACAACTAAATTATCTGAATCTAGAATCTCTTAAAGCAAAGCTCTACTTTGGACTTTTTTTTAGCTTCATTGCACAGCAGAAGCATAGAGCAGAATAGATCAGGATGGAGAGGCAAGAACACAATAATTAAAGTAAAATAATTCAAAGCCAGAAACCAGATATCTCATGCCCAACCAATGCATATCATAGGCCATGCATGTGTAGTTGATGACTTTAAGATAGTTTCATACTCTGTGCTCATAGGAAAAACAACAAACACCTTAAAGGCAAGGTAACCAGCATTTCAATAAAAAAAATAGAAAACATGTGTTTACTCTTCTGTGCATACCCTCTGCAATATACCGCCTACCACACTGCATAGTAAAGCCAAGCACCCACTAATATGTTTGACCACACAACAATCTATTCATTATTAATAATCTACCTATTTGATATCCAAGAATCAAGAGCTATTAAATATTGTCTGCAGAGATAAACCAGTAGATTACTACTTGTTTGGTAATTAAATGTTGCAGTACACAGCACAGCACTGGTAAGCAGCCAATCTCTAGTTGCTCTAGTCATGTGGCCATGTCTTCTCCAGCAGCACAAGGCCAAGGTAGAATTGTGGCTCAGCAGAATAGTTTCAATGCATATTCATACAAAAACAGCCTAGTTTCAATGCTTGTAAGACAACATTTTAGGTGATCAGTAATGTTTCTAACAAAACAACAAATAGTAGCTTCTAAGAATGAAGGAACCCATGCAGGTGATGGCATTGGATTGCTTGGTGATGGATCTGCTGTTCTGCAACAAATAGATCCATCCTAACCATGCCAAAACCTAGTGTTATAAGCTGAAGGATCAATGGCAAACGTGAAACTTTTTTGACCAGATCGATTGCTCCATTGCAACCATAAACCGTAAGAGATGGGGGAAAGGGAAGCAAGTAGACTCTTGGAAAAAAACAACTGATTTTGTGAAGGGAAGCCAAGCCAAATGCTTTTACTCTGAACTTGTTTCTTTTTTTTACAGGCGCACAACAAACATTTTAGTGATGTTCCAAAAAAGAAACATAACTAACTCTCAAATCAATATCCAAAAAGTTGTGTACCAAAATCTTGCTGGGTAAATGAATTGGTAGCAATCCGGATTCATGCATCAAGAAGCAGAGCACCTAGCTAGGCAGGAGAAACAAATCGACTAACCTTGTTTCGGCAAGATGAACATGTTCTACAAAAGGTTTCTCAGGAGGGGATTACAGGAAGAAACATTGCCACAAGAGGAATTCGCGCCACCACTGAGCTCGAGTGTTGCGCAGTTGAGTTGCATCCTCAAGCTTGCTTCTTACCGGAGTACTCCCGTCGCCGTTTGGACTCAAGCTCCACTCCCGCTAGAGCGCGCCGCCACCGCAGGTAGATGAGACCGCCTCCCACCTAGAGCCCATCACCAGTTCAAGTGTCCATCCCTGTCGAAGGTGCAAAGGCATCTATCCACCAGCTTGCTTCTCGCCTGATGTTGCCGTCGTCGCTGCTCCATAGAACCGTGGCCAGATCAGGAGAAATGAGTTTGTGGGGGAGACAGGGATGGGCGGCATCGCTGAGAGAGAGAGAGAGAGAGCGGGGGGAGGATGCGGCCTCGTCGGTGCTCCAGCGAGTCTCCACCATGGAGGAGTGAAGTGGAGGGCACATGGGAGAGGTCGTCGCCGGTGGGGAAAAGCGAGCGAGGGCCGGCCACCGTGAGAATAGTGGGAGAAAGCGAGAGAGGGAGAGGGGAAGGGCGGGCAACAGTGGTGGGCTGGCGGCTAGGGTTTGGGGGAGGTCGAGGGATGTCCGTTTTTTTAAAATGACCCTTCAAGAGCACAATCCTATTTTTCATTTTTTTTTCTTCTTAGCATAAGATATGCTAGATTTTAAAGGTCTTTTAGGTAAGAATACATAACTTAGAAACCTATATGGTTGAGGACTGCCATCAAAATATCAGTAACATTAAGTTTTTTTTTGCAAAACGGCTAGAGTCGACGCGGAACCACGAGTGCTCGCGAAATCCAGCAGCATTGGGCATCCGGGGCAACGTGGATAGCACGGGAAACGGCCATGCCGCCCCGAATCGCTGTGGAGGCTCCATTCGGGGCATGTTTTAATTTAACCGATATGCAGTGGTAAATGGTAGGATATGCACGCATGAGCGTTCATTGGGACTATGTGATACCTGCACATAGGAGGCTTTAGGCCGAGTTTTTTCCCAACTTTCCCAACTCACTTCCCCCGTGTTCCGCACGCATGATTTTCAAATTGCTAAATGATGTGTTTTTTTAAAAAAAAAATTATATACGAAAGTTGCTTAAAAAATCATATTGATTTATTTTTCTTAAAAAATAGCTAATACTTAATTAATAACGCGCTAATGGACCGCTCCGTTTTCCATACGCTGGAAATATGTTCCCAACACTGTGGAAACAAACACACCCTTAGGTCCTCAATGGTTCTATAGTTGCATGTGTTGGACGCACACGCATGTGTGTGTGGTGTTGTATATGTGGAGTGAATTCGTGTGCGTCCTTAGCTGTACTATCTCTCAAAAAAAAAAGGTCCATGAAGAAACAAATTATTTTTCCATGACACAAAATATTACTTTTACATCCAATTCATATTATAAATCGTTTTGATTTTTTTCTAGTCAAACTTATTTAAATTTAACTAAATTTATAGAACTTTAGCTATATCTATAACACCAAATTAGTTTTATTGAATATAGTATTGAATATAATTTGATAATATATTTGTTCTGCGTTCAAAATATTGCTATATTTTTCTACAATACTTAGCTAAACTTAAGAAAAAATAACTAGAGAAAAAGTCAAAGTGATTTATCATATAAATCGGAGTGAGTACCATATACCAGTGTACTCAACACAGTGTTCAATGGACCGTATCACTGGCTAAAAGTAAAATACATAAATCTCAAAAAAGAAAAAAGAATTACCATCACGCCAAGTGTGTTTTTGGAGCATGCATATACGAGTTCATACCCCACTACACACTAACACACATTACACTCGCACACTCACAAATGTATCTCCTAATAATGCAAATCAATAGAAATTGATAGCAAATCCCTACTCTAACTAATTTTTTTCCAGGTCACTAAAATTTGTTGAACACCAGGCTTTGAAACTTTCTAATCTAATTTTCAAGTTTCACATTCTATTTCGGAAACCACAACGATAGCCGATCATATTCTTTTGAGCACTACCACACAAACTAAACTTTTTCCTTTTACAGAACTCTTACAAACAACAATATCAACCATTTAATTTATCAAGATAAATAAGAGCAAGTTTAATAATATAGTCAAGTATCAGCTCTGAATCACCTATAGTCAATTTAATAGCTAATTTATACATATTTACCGATAAATATATACAATACACTAGTAATATCTGAGCCCACCTGTCTTACACACATTGCTCTTCTCTTTCCTTATTTATCTTATTTATCTTCTCGATATATGTACTCCATCTGTCTCAATATATTAAAACTTAGGACCGGATGAGACATTTTCTAGTACTACGAATCTGGATAGGCTGTTAGAAAATGTACTATCTAATCCTAGATTTTAATATATTAGGACGGAGGAGGTATGTGTTTACAGCAAGTTTTTAGTGTGCTATTGTACCTGCTGTACTACCATACTCACATAGTCACATTACGACACGTCAGAGGTAAGCATAGGCGTTATTTCATCGGCTGCTTGATATGCTGCTGCCGCCTGCCTGGGAGGCACATCGGGCAGTTTAATTAAGGCAATTAAGGCCGTGTTTAGATTTTTTTTTTTTAAAAAAGATCACATCAAATGCTTTGACACATGTATAGAGTATTAAATATGAAAAAAAAATCAATTGCACAGTTTGCATGTAAATTGCGAGACGATTTTTTTTATCTAATTACACCATGATTTAACAATGTGATGGTACAGTAAACATTTACTAATGATGAATTAATTAGGCTTAATAAATTTGGGCAGTATATAGGCGAAATCTATAATTAATTTATTTTGTTATTAGTTTATGTTTAATACTTTAAATATGTGTCTGTATATTTAAAAATTTTCTGGCCAAGGGACTTAAACACAGCCTAATAGTTGTCCTAATCCATGCACGTTTGCATAGTACGCTTCCACAAGGAGCGGAAGCATCGCACGGATGATTGATTGATTACCAAGATCTCTCCCAAGTTGATTTGATTTTGACCAACTGCTACAGTATATAATCACACCTGATAGCACCGGGCCACCGGCCAAAACACGCGTGCATTTTCTACTCTTTCCATCGGAGGAACACGAGACACGTACGTCCTCGTTCTGCCCAGCCAACCTAATTGGACCAATCCGATGACTAATCTAAGTCATTACGGGGATCAAGGACAAAAGGAGAATGAAAATCGCACTTCATTTCTATGGCGCTCTTTTGAAATCGAGACAATTTGCGCAAATTTCACGAGAATTTTAAACTGATCTCAACAAAAATCCGCTAAAACAACATCCATTGAGCTGTGACCGTGGTGGAGGGAGGAATCCGTGCCACGTGACCCAAAACCGAACTCGAATCCTTTCCGCCAAAGCTGGGCCCACATGCCAGCCAGATGCACACAATTCCGATTTGCTTTTCAAAGTTCCAAAACTATAAAAACTTCCTCCTCCCTTTTCCCATCTCTCTCCTCTTCCTCGCATTTCCCGCACCACGAAGGAATCAAACGGAAAAAAAAAAGAAAAAAAAAACTCCAATTAGATCGGCCCCCACGTATCGTCTTCCCGTTCCATTCCTTCTCGAAGCTTCCATGAACGTGGAGCGCCTCGTCCCCGGCGGCGCCGGCGGCGGCGGCGGCCGCTTCCGGTACGAGCGGATGCCGGCTAGGGGCCCGGCGGATGACGGGGAGGGGGAGGAGGAGGAGGAGGAGGCGGCGGTGCCGGAGCGGCGGCCGGAGGTCCTGGCGGCGTCGGCGTCGTTCCGCCTCTCGGAGGCGGCGCGGGTGTTCGAGGAGCTCCCCAGGGCGTCGATCGTCGCCGTGTCGCGCCCCGACGCCGGGGACATCACCCCGATGCTGCTGTCGTACACCATCGAGGTGCACTACAAGCAGGTTCGCGGATCCTCCCCTGCCTTCTCTCCTGTTCGGTTTATTCACGGTTCTGAGAAACATCATGTGAAAATTTGGTGTGATGAGAGGGGGTGAATTAGTCTAGAATTGCGTCCTTTTTTTTTTGGTTGGCAAATTCCACGATCATATTACATACATACACGTTATAGTTCAATTTGTTGGTACTAATAACTACAGCTCATGATTTTAGTTGCTGCGCGAAATGTGCCTTCTGATTGTGAGTTGTGATCTCTACGCCACTACGAACTTGTTTGATTTTAATGGCCTGCAATTCCCCATGTAGAAAGGGAAAGGGGGTTAATGTTCCATGATTGATGGTACCAGTCAACTACTAGTAGGATTTTTCACAATCTCAAACGTTACAGCGTGTCCATGGCATTGTGGGAGTTGATATTAATGGTTCAGTATTGGATAGGCGTGACTTTTATGCATGGATGTTAAGACTACATCAGATTTACTGCTGATCAGCCTGTCTCGAGCAGGTCTGCTCTTAAATTAATCATGTGCAAATACAGTCTATGTGAATAGATTAAACTTGTGTGTGGAATTTTTTGGTGCAGTATGCGCCTAATCGATCATTGTTTTTGATTGGATGATGTGGTTACTTGCACTGTAAACGGCCTATTAACCTGAGTATAATGGGATGTTTGTTCTACCTGTTATGCGCTCATTTTTATCTGCTCTTACTTGGTGAGGCTAACTGCCTAGAGTACTCACCTACTCAGTCAGATGAGTACTCAGCCATGTAGACTTGGTTTTCATACACTGAAGTTTATGGTGGTTTCTGGTTAAGCATGTTCCATGAACCGATATTTGCTGCTTTGTTGCTAGATGTTCATATGAAATTTGTGGTGTGTAAAATTGTCATCCCCATTTAGCATTTGCAACAACGTGCGTCCTCACGTACAACTTGGTAGAACTTCTTTGTCCTTTTATATTTATTGTAAGTACTTGTTTTCTTTTGTTACAAGAATTTATAAATGGACCACTTTTAACTTTTATTTTGTGTTGGATTTAGATTTTAGGTCCTGATGTTTCCTGTAATTGACAGGTATTTTTGGTCCTAATTTCTGATGATCATTATGATCCATTGGAATTCTAATATGGTTACCTACATATACAGAGGTACTTAATTAGACACAATCAATTCAAGATCAAGAAATTGACTAACTTAGAGGATATCTCAAATATAGATTGGAGTGCCATGGTGATTTTGTTTGTGCCAATTTGTAACTGCAATAGATCCTAAACTGAAATGATTTCTATCATCTTGACTTGTAACGTTGCAAATCAACTATCTAGTATTGACTACTGACCAACTCGGCCTTAACAACTTGGTACATGCTTAATTTCTCAAAACTCGAGGCTGTTAAGAAAGTCCGTGTTCCCTTTCACTTCACATCTTATTATCTTAAAATGTGATAAGGAACTTTGTGGAACACATGTTTATGACCAGTTTGAAATTAATGGACTGCATGCACTACACGGCACAACCTGTGTGCAGATGTTTTATACATGCACACACGGACAAAGGCAAACAAAAAATGTTGAACTTGTGAAATGCATGAGTTTTATTTCTTAATACTTGTCATATATAATTTTTCTACTTGTGGTGCATACTTGCTTTCCTGTGATGGACATTTTCTTCTTTACACTGTTCTATTTATTTCCATTAAATATGAATGTTTCATATGTGAACTGAGAAATGTTTCACTGCTTCCACCAGTTTAGGTGGCGTCTATATAAGAAAGCTTCACAAGTTCTCTATCTACATTTTGCATTGAAGAGGCGTGAATTTCTTGAAGAATTCCATGAGAAGCAAGAACAGGTTGGTTATATGACCATTATGATTCATGATGCTTTTCAGTACTGGATTTCAACCTGTAAGTTCCTTAAAGCAAACTCGTTGAGTTGCCGTGCAGTTGTGCTGTTTGATTGGAGATATAATTAATTTTTTTACTCTTAACTTCTGTACATCTCAAAAGTTAGTTAGTTTTAGGATTAGAATGGGCCGCAACTATTTATTTTAGAATTATATGAGCCATTAGGTCATAATAAAAACAACTGTTAACAGTATGGTATTAGAGCTAGGTTGAATAGAGACATCCAATTCATAATATGGTATTAGAGCTAGGTTGAACTTCTCCTTGTTGCTAGTGTGGATATGGCATCATTGCCTTATCCTCTTCAGATTTAGGTCGTCCTTGTTGTCATATGAGACTATTGACGACTAGAGGATCTCACCTATTTGTTGCCTGCGCGGTGGCACACCTGCTCCTCAAAAACCCCTGGTGACACCAGCAACACCAATCTATTGTGGTTCCCTATTGATGTATCTCCAAGAGATTGTTCCTGGCACAAGTAAAGATCTTTATGATGAGGTGCAGGGCATGACATCTTCTCTCCCCCTTGCTTCAAGTGTATCTCATATTATATATTCTATTTATTGTTTTAAGGTTCTTGCCGATCCCTTTTTATTTTTTTTCTCGAAAACGCAGGATGACTGCATTTCATTTAAGGAGACCCCTTTTTATTTTAAAATGTTACCGTAACATCTTGTTATTAGAATTTATCATCATTTAACTTTTACAAGTATTGATGCACCCTATGGAAAGTGGAGGAGGCATAAATATGTGTGAAAATAGGATGGGGTATAGAAGGAAGCCATTGCATCTGGTCAGATTTAGTTTGTTAGATAACAGATAATAAAATAGCTTATTATTTATGGCTCATACTTCCTAGTCCGCTTAGTGGATCAATATTTACATATTCCTCATCAGTTCATCAGGTTTTGCAAATTTTTATGTTTTTTAATATTATGTCCAAACAAAAAGAGGCAGTTTCCACAAATATAAGGGGTTGAAGGGAAAGATTGGGAAAGCAGCACTCCAAAATCCCTTATATTTGTGGATACAGGCAGGGAGTAAGTCTTTAAGCACAGATTTTTATGTTGGAGCAACTCACCTACTTCTTCCTCGTTACTTTAACTTAAATATGACACGTTTTAACCATTTGATATCTGGAGAAATGTCATTAGGATGGGAAGCAGAGTTAAGCGGGGAGTACTAAGTTGATTTCTTTATTTTGTGATTCAAGGTCAAAGAGTGGCTCCAAAATCTGGGAATTGGGGAGCACATGCCAGTAGGACATGATGAGGATGAAGCAGACGATGTGAATGTTCCTGCACAGGCTGAAGAAAACTCCATTAGACATAGGTAAAAATTTTTATACATCAACGACGCACTAGTAGTTGATGTATAGTTATGCTTTATCATATTGCAAATGTTGAATTAGAGCAGTTGAGTCTCCATATGTTATCCCATGCATGCAGTAAGCAAGACATTGAACCTGTTGTGGCAGAAATGTTCCTTCAAGTGCTGTTTTGCCTGTCATTCGACCAGCTCTGGGGCGTCAACACTCAGTTTCTGATCGAGCAAAAGTTGCCATGCAAGAATATCTGAACCATTTTTTGGGGAACTTGGACATTGTCAACTCACCGGAGGTACTCATTACCCAAATCTTTATACATTTCACTCTATTGTTTCCAATTAGAATAAATGTTGACCAAAATATCCTATCTGCATCTAGATTAGTTTTATCGTCAAGAGTCAGTACTAAAATATCTTTCAAAATACAGGTTTGCAAATTTTTGGAGGTATCATGTTTGTCATTTTTACCGGAATATGGGCCTAAGCTAAAGGAAGATTATGTATCTGTTGGACACTTGCCAAAAATTCAGAAGGACCATAAAGAAAACTGTTGTTCATGTGGGTTGTTTAGCTGTTGCAAAAGCAGCTGGCAAAAGGTATTATATTTTTTGTAGTTCAGTTTTGTATTTAGCTATCTTATAATCATTGTATTTAAGATATTGAATTGAACAATTTTTCAATAGGTTTGGGTTGTCCTGAAGCCAGGATTCTTAGCTTTACTCAAAGATCCTTTTGATCCAAAGCTTTTAGATGTCCTTATCTTTGATGCACTGCCACATATGGATATAAGTGGAGAGGGCCAAATATCTCTAGCAAAAGAGATCAAGGAACGAAACCCGTTGCATTTCGGACTCCAGGTACATATTCCATTTTATGATCTCATGCCAAGTTAGCACGTTTGTTTGAAATGCAATACTTTTATTTTTGGTTGTTGACGATGGAAACATTTTTATATCTATTGCAAGAATGTTGAGTTTAGCCAGATTGTGATTGTTTAGTTTGGCCTTGCTGCAAAGTGACAGCTAGCTAGATATCAGAATATTACTTAAAAAATCTTAGTGATTTTTTTGTTCTGGGCCTAAAAAAGATGCACTCAGTTAATTATTTCATCTTACAGTAAATATATAAGTGCTTCTGGAAAGCCACCACAATGCCCAATAGAGCCTTAGGAGTCTGCAGGATTATCTCTTTCTCCTTTTGTCGTATGGATATCTTAATGAATACATAACATCCTTGTTATGAAAAATGCTACTTTTACAGAATATTTTTGTAGTGAATTGCATACTCATAAAAAAATACATAAACTCTAAAACAAGTTTTGAATGCGGCGATTCTTTTCTTATTTATGTGGGAACTGAATTATTTCTTGTGGAATTCCTGCCTTCCAATCAATTGATACTATCTTGGTAGTTCTGAGCTGGTCCACCTGTTCATACTATTTTGATACAAGCGTTAACCTTATATTTCTGTGGAGTCTAAACATATTTGTGCTTTTTTGGAGGAAGGTGTCTTCTGGTGGCCAGACTTTAAAGTTACGAACAAGAAGTTCTTCTAAAGTGAAAGACTGGGTTAGTGCAATAAATGCTGCTCGACAAACTCCAGAGGGCTGGTGTTACCCTCATCGTTTTGGTTCATTTGCTCCACCAAGGGGTCTCATGCCAGATGGGAGTATGGTACAGTGGTTTATAGACGGAGAAGCTGCATTTCAGGCAATTGCTTCCTCCATTGAGCAAGCAAAATCAGAGGTTAACTTTGTGTTGCTTCAATAGTTACATATGGAGAAAATAACTCCAATTGTATAAATCTTAAGATAACCGAATATTTGATGCAGATATTTATTACTGGCTGGTGGCTCTGCCCAGAATTGTTTCTCCGACGCCCTTTCCAACATCATGGGTCATCTAGGCTTGATGCTCTACTGGAAGCTAGAGCTAAGCAGGGTGTACAGGTATCATAATGGTTTCCTTTTAATCAAAGTTGCAGACCTGTTATATGATGTGTGAGGTGCTTAAGTTATGTAGCAATGCTTGCTACTTCATCACGTGTCAATTGCATGAATTGTAGATGCCTGAATCATAGACATTTTGTATCTTCTGAAAATGGCTTACTTTGTGAGGTTCAAGTCTGTTTACCTTTCAAGCTCAAACAAAAAAGAAAAAAAAAATCCGTGAATCCCATCTGCTGACAAACTATTCAAATAGACCCCTGCGATCGGGGCTTCTGGCCCTTCTGCCTCCCACACACCGTCATCCTCACTTCCTCTTGCATACGCTTACAAGTTATGTAATTATCAATTCCTTAGAGACAGAGATCATGCAAGAAGATTTCACGATCCATAGGTCCCTGGCACTAATCTTTCTTTGTGAAAATACATTAGAAGTTAATGACTTCATAATAGGTCCCTGGCACTGATCATTTTTTTAAAGAATTGTCTTAATGCCTGGTTTTGTCAAATTTAACCAAGAACAAGCTATAGGGGTGTTTTTGGATTCACACCATGCTTTGGTGCTTATGAGTTCCATTGCACACTTTTGTTGTATTTATTCTTATTCTTAATTTTTTTATTGTTTTTGGTGCAAGGCAGGAATGATAGGTTCCTGTCATGGCCTCTGGTCATTGATAAAATATGAACTTATCACATGACTTGAAAAAGCAAAATGAGTCAAAAACTAGATGGCTCATAAAAACCGACAGTTACTGACTGTCTACTCTGAATTTTGGTAATTATGCAGATCTACATTCTTTTGTACAAGGAAGTTGCTCTTGCATTGAAAATCAACAGCTTGTACAGTAAACAAAAGCTACTTAACATTCATGAGAATGTAAAAGTTCTGCGATATCCTGATCATTTCTCAAGCGGTGTATACTTATGGTATGACGAATCCGTTTTTGTCTCCCTATGTTCAATGCAAACTATTTAATTATAACAACTTAACTCCTTATTTTCACTTTAAGGTCACACCATGAGAAAATTGTGATAGTAGATAATCAAGTATGCTATCTTGGAGGTCTTGATCTGTGCTTTGGTCGCTACGATAATTCTGCGCACAAACTTTCAGATGTTCCTCCTGTGATATGGCCAGGGAAAGACTACTATAACCCCAGGTAACTATGGTATTTCGTTTATGATGGTATTTATGTAGGATTATTCCCAAATTATTCTTACCTGAGTTTTCCTGCTGTACATAAGGGAATCTGAGCCAAATTCCTGGGAGGACACAATGAAAGATGAGCTGGACCGAACGAAATATCCTCGCATGCCTTGGCATGATGTTCAGTGTGCTCTCTACGGTCCACCTTGTCGGGATGTTGCAAGGCATTTTGTTCAGCGCTGGAATTATGCAAAGGTTTGTCTTTTCCATTGCATACTCATCATAGTCTTCCCCTTCATTATTGTAAATAAAATACCTTTTTTTTCCAGAGGAACAAAGCTCCCAATGAGCAAGGAATTCCCTTGCTGATGCCTCATCACCACATGGTAATTCCACATTACAAGGGCATAGGCCAAGAAATTAATAGTGAGGCTGATGGTAAACAAAATCATGACAAGGATTGTGATGTTAAAAAACCAGTCTCTGTGGACTCACGGGAGTCTTGTCAGGACATTCCATTGCTTTTACCTCAAGAGCTTGAACCACCGGCATTGCCCAATGGAGATTTAAGAGTGAACGATTTAGACGCCAACCACTCTGATCACCTACACAAAACAAGCTTCAATCAGCCTTTGCTCAACCGGAAGGCAAAGTTGGATTCTTCCCGACAGGATTTGCCCATGAGAGGTTTCGTAGACAATATAAGTTCCCTTGAGTCATCATCTATTAGGCATTTTGATTCTTCCAAAGAAGAAAAGTATCACATGGATAAGAACTGGTGGGAGATGCAAGAAAGAGGAGATCAAGTTGCTTCAGTACTTGATATAGGGCAAGTTGGTCCAAGGGCAACTTGTCATTGTCAGGTCAGTATTGAAGTTAATTTTGAATTAATTTGTTGATGCCAATGAATGAGATAATGAGCAAGAGTTTCTCAAAGTTTTGGCTATTTTAGTTATATAACTATGCTACACAAGTTACGTGGTTTGCTATCTGAAGATTGTAATTCATTGGAAGTTTGGAGTTTTAACAGCTGCATTATTGGTAGACAGTAATTCATTAGGAAATAATATGAAATCTTTTGTTATAACAGATGCAACATGAATGCTATAGGAAAAGAGGCAAACATGGAAAATCTGAAACCAGGGCTAGTAACTATGTATGACGTAACATGTGATACTTATCTAGTTCGAAACTAAGTCGATGATCAGTATGAGTCTAATGACTGACACAAAATGTGATTCTTATCAGTTTAGCTACTTAGCAGTTCTGCTGCTTTTGGTGATGTTGTCTTTTCATATTCTGGGTTCAGATTATGTTGGTTATTTGCATATTTAATTGGTATCGAAACAGAAAAATAGCTAAGATCAGTTTGTTAGTCTATTCATAATTTATTAATTCTTTTGGGTGTGGCATAATGTTTTTATTGAAGTTGCTAAATGTAAATTCTGTCTTCATGATCACCATTTCTTCAAAAGGGCTGACATATAAGATGTTCCTGCTGTATATTCAGATATGCTTGTATACTAAATTACTAAACTAACATTAGAAACCATTATAATAATTGCATCAAATAATTCTAGTAAGTTAATGAATTTATATTTTGGTTCAGGTAATTAGAAGTGTTGGTCAATGGTCAGCTGGAACCACTCAAATCGAAGGAAGCATCCACAATGCCTATTTTTCTCTTATTGAAAAGGCAGAACATTTTGTATATATCGAGGTCCGCGTTTTGCATTTATTTTAAACATCAAAAATTCAATTTCTAAACAATAGTAGATTAGTAGGTTTTACTAGATAATGATCTTTAAATAATGTTCAGTAATTGTCACTATCTTATTACACATTATTCTGTCCAGTTTCTTTGGTATAAAAAATCTTTTTTTTTTGCACACATACTCCATAAGTATGTAATTAATATCCATGAGACTGCCAAATTGTTAACATCCTATTTGCGCACCTTTTTTGCAGAATCAATTTTTCATATCAGGCCTTTCAGGAGATGAAACGATAAAAAATCGTGTATTGGAAGCATTATACAGGCGCATACTTCGGGCAGAGAGAGAAAAAAAGCGCTTCAAAGCCATCATAATAATACCTCTGTTACCTGGTTTTCAGGTAATTTTCTACTGCAGTGATTAGGAATGTTTTTGTTCCTGGTTACTCACATAATATCGTGGCAGGGAGGCATTGATGATGGCGGAGCTGCATCTGTGAGAGCAATTATGCATTGGCAATACCGGACTATCTGTAGAGGCCCTAATTCTATACTTCAGAATCTATATGATGTTATTGGTCCAAAAGCACATGATTATATCTCATTTTATGGTCTTAGAGCACATGGTAGACTATGCGAAGGAGGTCCCTTGGTCACTAATCAGGTAAAGTATGAGTCTTGTCCATTTCTGGAGCATGTTTTGTTTTCTGCCAGGGTCCTGGCACTTTGCCATTTAAGAGTTGTGATTCAAAGAATTAGCATGTAAAATATTTGGCATTGCAGATTTATGTCCACAGTAAGTTGATGATAATTGATGACCGCATCACATTGATTGGATCAGCTAACATAAATGATAGAAGCTTGCTTGGATCAAGAGATTCTGAGGTATGCTTTTCTCATATTCCTGTGTCCACTATATTTTGGTACGTTGCACCTTAACTTGTATGGTTATCTGATGAGGAGTATTTGCTTTTCAATTAACTCTATTTGGTAAATGGCAAATCGCTTACATCAAGTAATGTTTTAATGTTGGATGTCGATTATCTGATAGTTTACCCTTGTCACCTTGTAGATTGCCGTGGTCATTGAAGATAAAGAAGTTGTTAGTTCCAAAATGAATGGAAAACCTTGGGAAGCTGGGAAGTTTTCTCTAAGCCTACGTCTCTCTCTCTGGGCAGAGCACCTTGGCCTTCATCGAGGAGAGGTTTGGGATATATTGCATTTATGCTTTGATTCTTCCGTCGGTAATCTTTTGTTAATAGACAGATGTTCTTAGTATTGCAGAATCTCCAATGTACTCTTTAACCATTTTTTTCTAGGTATGCTAGCGATTCACATAAAATATATGGTATGGGAAATGTATTTTTAATTAAATATTTAGTAATATCTTTCCATTAGATAGTATAAATACATTTGAATCTCATTCCAAATGGTAGTGACCTTGTGAACATCTGCCCCGTGACAAAATTCCACATACATTTCACAATATATTTACGTCTTACTGTACTAATGTCTTATGTAAGCCGCTATAAACTTTTGACATGTGATAAACAATTTGATATTATCACGATATGCTTGATGAAGCTTTCTTATATTCATTGCAGCAGATAGGGATATCATGTGCATTATTTTGATTGTTTAAAATATAAATGTGATATACAGGTCAGCCATATTATGGACCCTATCGATGACTCAACTTTCAAAAATATCTGGATGGCCACTGCTAAGGTGAGAGAAAACATAAACGTTTTTTCCTGCCATAGTCAATTTAACCCTAGCCACTTGTATCACTCAAAACTGCTAATGCTACTCTTCCTAGAATGTAGAAATCGATTTGGGATGTCTAACCTGGTACTTCATATAATGTTAGGATGTTGCTTTCTTCAGTTGTAAAATCCTAAACTGCATGGTGCATATTATATCAAATGCTTTAGTCATGGCAATCTCCACTAATACTCATAAATTAGTTAACTGTTTTTTTTGGCAGACAAATACCATGATTTACCAAGATGTCTTCTCATGTGTACCTAATGATCTTATCCATTCAAGGTATGAATTGACCATTCGATTTCAGTTGCTCTTTTTACAAATTGCTCTAGACTCTAAACATAATGAGCATGCAGGGCCCAATTTCGGCAGAGCTTTGCTCACTGCAGGGATAAAATCGGTCACAATACAATCGATTTGGGGGTTGCCCAAGAGAAGCTGGAAACCTACCAGGACGGCGATCTCAAGGGTACGGACCCTATAGAAAGATTGCAGATGATCAAAGGTCACCTTGTTTCTTTCCCGTTGGATTTCATGTCCCAAGAGGACTTGAGACCATATTTCAGTGAAAGTGAATATTATACGTCTCCACAAGTTTTCCATTAGCTTCTTTTTCATGGAAAAATTACTCCCCTACTGCCATAGTTGTACATAGTGCAGAGGTCAACCTTTAGGTGTTTCACATATTTTGTCAAATAGGGAAAAGAAAGAAATTATCAACCCACAGACCGGTGGAAAGGTTACAAGTACAGTTTAGTCACCGGTACGTTCCTTCTCTTTTTGGGCAAGAGAACACTCTGCTCAGTTCATTCTGTTCGACACAAAGAATATAGGAGTGTAGATAGTTTATACGGCACCTTTTTTCCCCTTTTTTAGGCAAGAATTACTCCTGTTGAGTTAACTCTTTGTTGACATAAAGAAAAGCTTTCCCCCCCTTCCAAGCTGTGTCTCAGACTTCCAGTACGTGCACATTTTAGTCTACAACTAAACAATGGCATTCGATCCATACATTTTGGTTGAAACCAATGACAATCCATGTAATCATGTACTGGTATCGCCTCTGGAAATGTTCAGTGTTTTCCTGCATTTGTAATGTTTCACGCCCTTAGCTTCTGAAGAGCAGAGGACCAGGGCCAGTTAAGACTAATGCTTTCATGTCATTCTTTTTTTTTTTGTCACAATGAAAGCTTACAAAATACAAAGGAAACCTATACGTGACTATTGAAATTCTGGAATGCAAAATGGTGTAACTAAACTAACCTGTAAGCAATTTATTAGTTGATCTAGGGTTGATTGTAGTTTTTCCCTCTAATGAAGGTAGGATTATGATTACTGACATGTCTTTTGTTTCCAAAAACATTAATTTTTTTTCGTAACTATTATCTGGTGTGTAGCTTTTCCCCTCAGATTTATTTGTAATTCTTAGCACATGAGAGCGAATATGGTAGTAGATTCTTTTCACCTTGCTTTTATAATATATTAGTCATATCTAACCAATTATCTTAAACTCAAGAAGAGGTATGAAAACACATGACCTCCATATATTCTCAACCACTACCTTTCCATATACCTTTAAATATGTATCCACAAAGGCGAAATCTCTTGTTGTTACTGCTGATAGTCTGCTAAATACATGTGAATTCCGTTTACCACTCGACTTTGAGTTACAACCATTGGCGCGTGATTCGCCCATGGTTTTCCCACAGAATTCCCGGTGCTAAGCTAGCTACCTCATCTGTCGGTGCGGCCACTTTTGCGGTGATTCGCTTGCGTTGGATGAACAACAGAACGAACTGGGCTATACAGCGTGCAGACGCAGGATTGTCCAGCAAAAACTCCAATCTCCAGAAGGGTTCTCTTTACACGCATGATGTTTCATACTGACGTAGTACTACTACTCATCTCATCAAATTTAAACCACCAAAACCAAAATGCTGACTCTGATCAACCTGCATCGGTTGATGCCAAAGTGCTCGCTTAAATTAACACGGGGCATTTGTCCCATTGTGTCATCAGCAACATGGATGCATTATGCATGATGATGGATATACGCAGATGCAGGTATAGTAGTATCTTCCAAGATCCGACACTAAAGTCTGTAAAGAGGAGTGGTTGCAGAAGCTAGCGCCGTACGTGTCACGGTTGTTAGAGGGGAAAAAGGGACACCATATGGTATCGTACGTGTTCAGTACTGCAATGCGCCGGCCGTTCTCTAGGGTAAGTGGATGACACGTGAAGAAGACGACGACTAGATGCATCGTCTAACGTACAAGGTGTACACAGCCTTGGGTACTAGGGTGTATATTATGTGTGTCAAGGGTTAATTGCTGTGCAACGTCGTACCATTTGATTTTTAGCTAGGGAATAATGGCGATCATTGCATCATGCACATTCATCCATTCATGATTCATCTTATCTTATATATTTGAGTGCATTCAGTGCTGATTATGTACATACGTTGATTCTATTGATCATTAGATCGCCATTTGAGATGTACAGAATAATCAAATGGACTAACGAATATATGACAAGATGCTACGTATATATAGCTCGCCTGATGCATCATTCATAGGACACACCAAATAATTTTTTGTCTAGATTCACCTGTGTGATTATGGTGTGCACGCCCCTTTAGTTTCTCACTATACATGTGTATACGTACTCTTATAAAACCTTAACAATATACGAGGTTTTTATTGTGCTTACAACCTCTCACGTGGGTTTAAAATTAAAAACTGACATGTGTAGCACCTTATAAATGTTGGGTTTATTAAACAACCAACACGGATAACATCAATATTTTTTTAATTAACCGGCATAGTACTGGTTTTTAAAAAAGGCACGTACTTTTAACGATGGCATTGAGCCGACCTCCACCGAGCTAACCCTGGTTTTTTCAAAGTCCACCCTCAGCACGCCATCTTGCTCGCTACCACACCCTTAGTACCTTCCTTGTTGGCACCTCGTCCTCTCCACCGCGGCCGCTAGCCTCCTCCTCACCCACAACGCCTCTTTCTCTCCGCTGAACTGCTGGTCCTCCTTGTTGCCCGCAACACCTCATCATCTCTTGACTCTCTCTCCCTCTCCTCTTCTTCTCTGTGGGAGGCCACCACGTGAGTAGGAGTCGGTGGCTTGAGGGGTAGGCGGTGGTGGTAGAGTGGAGACAGTGTTGCAAGGGAGGGAGCAATTGGTCTAGCCAACTGGAGCTCAACAACAGCTCAATGAGCAGGCATTGGCGATTATTTGGAAATCGAGGACTACGTACATGATCTAGCTGCCACGTGTTTGGGGTTGGCCAGATTTTGCCAATGCGATCAGTTCGATGGCAGCAGCCCTCTTCACTAGAGCTACGGTGGTTCCTTACTCCTTCACCATCTCGTTCATCGATGGCCGCACCGACGCTCTAGCTTCTTCTCCCTCCTATGATTTTGTGATTGTTGACTTTGTGGGGATTGGGGGAAGGGTTGGACAACATGCCTGATTCTTATAATTCGGCTCGATGGGATGTTGATTCTATAATAGCAATTGGAGATTATTGATTCTATGGGGATGGGGAGGGAGGGATTGGCTCAATTCATTTTTTTTAGATAATGGAATAAAATATCCCGGCCTTTGCTCATCAGAGCTACAGCCAATTATTACAAAAGTAACACCCAAACACTGAGTGTGGTTCAAATGAATTAAACACACCCAACAAAATAAAAAATCAAACTAACATAAGGAGAGCACATTTATTCAAGTCTATTTGTGAATCTCCATCCATAGTTTGCAAGGAGTTGCATGACCGTTGTCTCAAGCCTACGACATGCAACCTTCATAAGCTCTCGATCATCTTCACATATTTGCAGCTGTGCCCAAAATCGGAGCCAATATGTTGCCCTGGAAATTACCTGCATATATGAGATAGATGGTGATTTGTCAAAAACCATATCATTCCTAGTCAACCATAGAGTCCAACAAGTATGGCAGAAGCTCGATTCATATAACTGTTTTTTTTTTGTCACCTTGTCGGTGATGATTGTCAATCCGGTACTTATGTGAAATTTTGAACTAGAATCTATTAGATTTCTTTTACCAGTGCTAGTTAGGTAGCCAATGTTCTCTCTACTGCGATACTACATATATACTATTCTTATATATATGATACTGTTGATATGATGTTTAACCATTCTTATTGATATTTAGTGTAAGTATATAGAATATAAGTAATACTTAAAATATATTTAATATAAAAAATGTTCACACTTTTCTGTCCAGATTCGTTGTAGTATGAAATGTCTCATCCGGTACTAAGATTGTTATATTATAAGATAGAGGGAGTATATATCTCGTCGATGCACTTCTTATTACTGTGTTTACATAACAACAACACTCATCCACCTAATGGCCTAATGCCCTAATCTAGGACTCGAATCGTGCCTAGGCCGTACCAGATCTGATTAACTAGCTAGGAGTAGAGCCAAACAAACAAACACATCACAGCTGCATGGGACGCGATTGATGTCATATCATCACTCATTGGCGCCTAGCTAAGCTACTCCTAATTAGCGCCCAGGCTAGCTTATTAGACTAGTCCATTAAGCTAGCGTGCCGTCACAGTGGCATCCACGCCCACCGTCGTCAGCTCGCTCGATCGATGTGGATCCATGTCATCCATATCTTGGCTAGCTTTTCCTTCAGTCGAAGAAGATGCGGTGGTGTTTTTTCCTCATTAAGATTACGATCTTGCCTCGATTTTCATAAGCAAGCTTTTCAAACTACTAAACAGAAAATTTTCTATATAAAAGTTGTTTTAAAATATAAAATATATTCATCCGGGAAGTTTGTACTCCCTTCATTCTAGAATATACTACATCCGTCTCATATTATTTATCGCTTTGAGTTTTGTTTATAATTTTTTTATCATTTGTCTTATTAAAAAATTTGAAATTATTATTTATTTTGTTTGTGACTTGCTTTATTATCAAAAATACTTGAAGTATGACTTCTCTTTTTTTATATTTGCACTAATTTTTCAAATAAAATGAATGGTCAAACGTTGCAAATAAAATAATTAAAACTTAATCAATCATGTACAGCTTTTCTCGTATTACATGTGACATCTTAATTTTAATCTTCATCTTCATATGTTTCAAACGAGCTAGTTTGTCATCTTTCTTTTCAATAATGAAATGTTATATGTCGGTTCAAAATAGGTTCAGCCTCTAAAAACAAAAGATATCGGTTTGACAAACCCTCTTCCTAAGGTCTCCTTTAGATCGGAGGATTTTCATGAGAATTTTAGATGATTGAATTTCTTAAGATTATGTTTCTATATGGCCATTTGGATTGGAGGAATAGGCTTAGGCAAAATCCTATCGAATGGCTTCCTACCTGGCCCCTTCATTCCAAAGGAAAATAGGAATGACGAAGTAAGAACTCATGTTTTTGTTTTCTTTTCCTAAGTCCAATGCACCCTCTCTTTCTGTCTCTACTTCCTCTCTCATTCATATGATATATTTCCTGTGAACCATCCAAAGGCTTTAGCTCAAACATTCCTGTGTTTCAAAATCCCGTAGTATTCAAAAGAACATGACAATTCATTTCTCTGTTTCTCTAACATGGTCCCATATTTCAAAGGTGCCCTAATAAGAACAAATCAGATATATAGATTTCTATCACAGAAGTCTAAAGGAGCACACCTAACATACACCGCAACTGAAAATTTTGATTTATATCCGACTAATTATAAAATTATGCTGTACAAATTAAGGCTGGGTTTGGTAGAGTGTTTTAGCTCAGTTAATACCTTGTTTTTAGTGTATGCATTTCTCAAACTGTTAAATATTGTTTTGTGAAGTATAATTTTTTTAAAAAATAATACAAATAAAAATTTGCAAATTTATAGTAATTAATACCCCCTCTGAAAAAAAACTACTTATATAAATGGATTTAGACATATACATATCTAGATTCATTCTTACAATTACTTTTAACTGCACGGGCGGTCCCTAAACTTATTCGGATATGTCACAAATACATTTTTGGTTCCTCAACTTGTCTTGGGTGTCATATAAGTCTAAAAGGCTCCAACCCGCTTCGTGTGCTGACGTGGCATGTCATGGTGGCGCCTACGTGTCAATAGAACTCATATATCAGTCACATATA